AGAAGCCAAGTCCAGGGAAGATCCCCAGCCTGAGCGCTAAAGCTAAAAAAAACCCAAAACTCAACCAACACATCTGCTAATAATTTGGGAGACCAAATTGACCCTGCTTACACCTTTCTCAAGCTTCTTTTGCAGGATCATGCATTACTGCTAGCACAGCCAGGTAACACACAGTGAAAGAGCAATCATTAGCAGCAGAAAAGAGGCATTTGTCTCAAGCAATCCTTCAAATCACTTCATCCTGCTATGGGTATTAATTTTCTAAACTAAATAAAGCAAATTTTAAGCTTCACAAAGAAGCAGTTAAAAACACAAGCTATAAGCTCTTACAACAACAAAGCCAGGCCATGTTTGATTAATATTTTTAAAAAGAGCATTTTTCTGACTTGAAATACCTGAGGGAGCTTGACAAGTGGAAGGGCTGGGAAGAAAAAGCAACTCTATCACTCACAGCATCCTACCTGTCCCCTCCTCACACAGGCTTGGCTCCAGTGGTGTGTGACACCAGTGCAGAGGGGCTACTCTGGATCCCCAGGTGTCCCACAGGGAGCTGAGCCAGAGCAGGTATGGAGGCAGAGCACACCCCTCTGCACTCACGGGCTCAAAACCAACCACAAACACCATCGAACACCCAGCCCCACATCCAGGCTGGGCTCCCAGCTGTGGTTTGCCTGGCTGCTGAATTCAGCCAGAGACATGAAGTCAACAGTGTCAGGGGACACAGGTACAGGACAGGCCATCCCTTACCGCAGTTAATGCATTTTCATCTCAACAAGACAAATGTCTGCTTCCATTCATCCCAGCCTCCAAGGGTCTTAGCCCCACCACAGCACCAGGTTGCTCCTCCACACACAGCCCAGGCTCCCCACTCCTGGGCAGGTCACTGCCACCCCTGCTCCAGCCCCGGCTCAGCCCCCTCACAGGGGCTCCTGTGAGCCCCTGCCACATCCAGGAGCAAGAGGAGGAGTTACCACCCAGCATACAGAGCTGTCAGCTCCAGTATGGCTGTGCTGCTTCCTCCTGCCTAATTTAGGGATCCAGGTGCAGGAGGGCACTCAGGGAAGAGCTCTTAGCAGCAGACAACTCCAATCAAGAGCATTAGCACATGCAAGGAGACATCCCCCCCATCCACATATTGCTTTAGCACACAGAGATCAGATCTGCTGCAAGGGTGAGATGTTTGCAGAGTGCTTTGAACACAGGTTATCAAATGCTGCCCAAGCAGGGGCAGGCACACACCAGAGCCCAGCCTGCAAAAGGGGATGAAGACACTTCATAGGGCACAAAACCCCCTGTCAGGCATGCTGGTTATTCAGTCCCTTCCCCACTGCAAGCTGACACATTTAGAGAGCAACTGCTTGGTAACAGGGTCCCCAGCACACTTTGTTTGTGATTTGCAATTCAGTTTATTGCATTAAAATGTGGTGCAGCCATAGCCCTAGAAAGAAATAAACATGCCACTTGTCACAGTTCCTCCCATTATGTTTTAGAGGAAAGTGAGCTCGGGTGAACATTCAGAGGGGAGTCTGGGGCTTGTCAGAAAGCACTGCCAGCAATGCAGCATCCTGCTCTCACCCTACTGGAAACATCCTATCTCCTCTCCAACGTCCCCAAAATCTGCAGCAGAAGACAGCTTACTTGGGAGATGTTCCTCTGCTTGTGGCACAAGAGTCTGAGTGAACAGAGGGAAAACATAAACTCAAGGTGGCTGCCAGGATTGTGCTGGAGGCTGGAAGTAAAAGCCATTCACCTGCTGAGCCAGGACCAAGAGAAGCCCTTGCACCTTGCTGCTGCTCCTGCAGGGTTTATTAGGAGTGAGTAAAATTGCCTAAAAAAGAGCTGTTCAAAGGGACAAGGTATGAGAGATGCTTTGACTGTGTTTGTATCTCAGTCCCATCCCCAAAGAAGACTCTCCCTGTCCTAGGGAGGTATGCATTTAATTAATATTACTAGAGAAAATTAACACACTCCTTCCCCACAGATGTGTTAGGGGCCTGACCCAGCAGCAGGAAACCATCCTGCAGTGCAGTTTTCCTTGTGACTGCTTGTGAGGAGTGACTGCCACACCCATGCTGGGACTCCCCTGATACAGCCCCATCCTCCCAGTCTAAGTGCTCAGATTTGGCTCACACCAAATATTTACCACATCTCAACTGAATTTTGGAACATACAGGCCACAGAGCAGTGTGGCTCTGACTCTCTGGCTGCCAGGCTCGTTTTCAGGAGAGGCAGATTCTGCCCTGCACAGAGCAGCCCAGCAGCCTCGTTCACCCCCATGGTTTGATTCCAGAGCAACGTGATGCACCTTGGTAGCAACTGTGCTCTCAAGAGTCTGGACAATGCTGAGAGCAAACCAAACAGCACTAACCTCAGGAAATAGCCTGCACGACACGGCTCAGCACTGTCTCTGCCCCACATCACCATCAGATTCTTTCTCTTGAGCAAAAGTTCTCAGACCTCTGACACCTGTTCAGGCATCCAGAGGGACCATCCCACAAAGCCAAGCCTTCCTCTGCCTCCCCCAGCAGTAAATGGGTTTTCACAGCTGCAGAAACAGCACCATCCTTTTCCTCAGCTGAGCCCTGGTCCCTCAGCCCAACTTCAGCAGGGAGAGGGGCATCAACACATCACATTTTGGAAACATCAGCAGTCTCACAGTCAGTTGTCTCAAATTCATGCAAGGAAAAGTCTCTTCATCCATCCCCTCCCTTCGCCCAATCTATTTTATCCTCATCCTTCTCTACATATCATGGAGTTAATAAGAGACATATTTACTTTGCCTTGCTTGGGACTAAAGTTGAACTAGAAGTTTGAGTTGTGCATCAACACAAAGCAAAATGTCTTCTCTGAAACACCACAAGCAACAAGCATTTCAAAGCAGAGAAAAAAAAAAGAGCATTTAGAGGGTGTTCTATGAAAATAATGGAGCTGGGTGAAATTAAGCAGTTCCCAATATTTGAGATGACATGTCAGAACACAAAACAGTGGGGGGGAAATTATGTGTTATTTATATGCATTCACACTGTGGCATTCATCAACAGCAGAGTATTCAGGGAAGAAACATCACCACTAGATCTGCAATACCCAAATGTGAGTCCCTGGAATCCTGCACCAGGGCTGCACTGAACAGCATCCCCCAGGAATGCCGTATTTTAGGTGTGCAGCAGGAGGTAGTGCACTGTAAGGTATGAGACCTTGATCAAGCTCTGCAACTTAAATGGATTTCCAATAACAATGAAGACAAAGAGGTGTCAGCTCTAGCCCTCGTTTGCTGATACCATCAATAGGGGCTCAGCTCACTAGCAGTTAATTCAAAGCCAAGCTCGATTTGCACAACAGTGATCTACACCAAGTCCCATATGTGGCTAAGAGGAGATTTTGCCAACTAGACAATAGAAACAGCATTAGAGCTCCTGAACTGATGCCATCGCTTTTTTTTTTCTGCTCTACAACTTCGCCATCAAATTTCCACAGGCTGGGATCTCCAGCTGCCTACTCCCTTGCATCAGAAGACATGCAGAAAGGGTAGCAAATACAGAAGTACCTATTTCTTTTCCAGATGCAGCTTTATTGAGGCTTTTAAAATGCAACTGCCCATAAAATAGGGGCAAATACCATTTTGTGCATTAAAGATACTAAAAATTACCATAATTAAGCAACTATAAAAGTATTTCCAAGTGATTCAACTGTCACTTAGCCTTAAAAACAAAAGTTGCTACCTGTTGCTATGTTTCATGAAAGTTTTTTAGTGCGCTCCATTCTGAAAATTTTGCTTTCAGGTTTTAGTCCATCTCAACACTAGACCAGACTGTTTTGCCAAGCTGTTATTGGTGAGAAGTTGTCATGCTGTTGAGAAGACCGAGGAAGCCAGAAGTACTACCCAATTAGGCAACTGAGTAGTTTTAACCACATTCTAATGTTACTGCCTGTAAGCCTGGACCCCGTTAATGTCAAACTTGGCTCAAAAGCAGAGGTGGCAGCAGCCCATGCCCAGTGTGTGCACCTGTGAGTTACTGCATCTTCTGAAACCAGCTGCACACAACAGCCCACAGCTCTGCCTTGCTGGCAATGCAAGGGCCCTCACACCCCCATCTACTCTCCACCAGGCAAGCATCGACTGCTAGAGCCAGCACAGGGCAGGAATTCAGGGGTTCTGTGGGGTGCTGTAGTTTTCCCAACTCGTGCTGTTCCCATGCTAAGGAAAACCAAGGTGACAGTCACCAGTCAGAGACCAGGAATTACCTTTCAAGTGCCACAAAACACCCCCAGCCCGGATTTGGAAAAAAGGCAAGACTTTGGCACAGCCAGCTGGTGACCAGAGGGGAAAGAGACCTGTCACTTCCCCCAGCCCCCCTCACAGCCCCCAGTTCCACCTGAACCTTGTGTCACTCGAGAAAGGACCCAGACCAAGTACCTGCGCCACGCTCCTCCTGCAGCAGGGGGTTAGACGTAGGCGCCTGGCTCCTGCCACGAAACAAGAGGCTAGAAAAAACCACAAGTCTGAAACAGTTTAACACAGGACAAAAAAGGCACATTTTAATATGTACAGCAATGCATTTGGGCTATAAATTTACCCAACACAACTGGAAAAAAAAATCCAAACTATGCTTTTATACTTATTCCATGGTGTCAGCCTCATTCCTAGCCACCTACCTTTCTCTGCATCTCTGAATGCTGCTATATACACACACAAACAAACAATTACGTCATGAATGTTCATTTAGGCTCCCAAGTTCAAGTAATAAAGTTCAAACTTGCATAGCATCTTGTGCCACTCAGCCATAAACAGTTAGGATTGCATATTAGCTGGAGCAGCCATCTCTTTCAATTCAGCCAGTTTTGGCTGGCCACCATTTTTTTAAATTTTTTTTTTTTTAAATCCTTGAGTCAGAATGTTTCCTAAGTCACCAGCCCTGAGGGATGCCACAGACTTCAAAATGAACCTCTTGCTGTTGTTAAGATCCTCTTAAACCAGAAATTTAGAGTGTTGTCAAGAACAGTTTTAAAAATGTAATACTGTTTATTTTGCTTCAAAAACATTTCAGCATTCTAAACATACAAAAAAAAAAACAGAACGTTGCAAATTTGTTTAAGTACAGAGTGTTTTTGAACTTCAGTTGCTGCACTGGCTCTTCACTTAGTTGACGATGAAGAGATGTCTACAGTTTCAGTTTAAAAACTACCGCACTTAACTAAAAAAACCCATACACTTCTCATGCCAGCTGAACCCCCTTCCACAACTAAGAATGGCAGCAGAATGCTATTTCACTATATACAGAAAGACAACTTTAAGCTAAATGGACGCCCACTGTAGTGTAAATAGATCTACCCTCACAGTGCATGCTTTGGGCCATGGCACCCCGGGGAACGTACAGCCTTTCCAAGTAATCACTGCTCCTCTAAGGCATCATCACTCTAAGCATGTACCACAAGAATCTGTCTAGTTTTTACAAACTATAGATATGTACAGTTTATAACCCAGGATTTTCTAGCCAATAACCATATAGTAACACCACCTTACAAATTAAAAAAATGCTTGAAACATTTTTAAATGCTTTGTTACACCAACAGCAAAGTGCACAGAGTTAGGAGAACACTAGAGCGCCTTTTCATTTTAAAAATGTTTGGAAATATGTACAACTTTGATACAGTTTCAGGGTGCTCACTACACCCATGGCCACTTCATGTAAACCAGTTACAATTTCTAGAGCACTTTTAGAAACTACAACGCGATCGGAATCCAATTTTTTTTTTAATTAAGCCTAATAAGGGCAAGAGACACCATCTCAAATAAGAGGTGCTTCATTTATGGTGTTTCCCCTACTCTATGGTATTCACATGGAGACAAGTATTGTACAGTTTTATTCATCATCATCATCTTCATCCTCCTCTTCTTCATCCTCCTCCTCCTCTTCGTCTTCTTCCTCTACCTTTTTCCGAGCAGCTTTGGTTGCTGCTCCCTTTGCGCCATCAAACTTTCCTTTAGACTTGTAGTCTGCAACATCCTGCAAAGTCAAGGGGATGTCTTAATTTGCTCTAAGCAGCAAACACACACAGCATTTGTACAGCAGCAGGTGTTAAGGTAAAGGGACTGGCCTTCCCCAGCTGCACCCCCAAGGGGACACGGCCAGCAAGGGAGTACACAGCTTTGCAGACACCTCAGCATGCTCATCAGTCACGGAGGTCTGGAACCCTGCACCATGGCTATTTCTCTGAGGAGGAGAAGAGAAGCCAGCCTCTCAAAGTTTCCTGATAATGGGACAAAGCTCCAGTAACAGCACAGCAGACCCTTTCTGAAGCAACACGAGCAGCCCCTGCTGCACATCACTGGGGAAAGCTCTCTCTCCTTGCTGAAATCTGCCTGTGGATCTCTATCCTGCTCTGCCCCAACCTGTGCAAAATTCAGCTGTAACTATGCTGGGGCCAACTGAGCTGGGCCTATGCTACAAAAGCACATCAACAAAAGAGCTGGTACAGAGGAGGCACAAGCGACAACTCTCCTTACCTTCTCGTACTTCTCCTTCAGTTTAGCTGCCTTATTATTGTAAGGCTGCTTTTCACCATCACTGAGGTTGTTCCACATTTCGCCCAGTTTCTTTGCTACATCCCCAATAGATATGCCAGGGTTTGTGGACTTGATCTTGGGGCGAAACTCTGAACAGAAGAGGAAGAAGCCAGACCTTGGGAAGAAACACCAGAGGAAAGTCAGCGTTTGCAGCAGCACACCCAGGGAGCACCCCTTCCTCCATCCCTCCCCCACAACACTGCCACATGCATGAGCACACAGAGTAGAAACTTTTCTTTAACTTACAAAATCAAACACAAGCTCACACGTGTTTTGATTTTACTGAGGTGCAGACCTGCAGCCTCCTTCACTCAATGCTCTTTATTAACTAAGCATTTTGTATCCCCTCACCCAGTTTCATCTTAGATACACAGGTCTCACTGTGACTCAGCCACTTGTGTCTTCCCATGAGACACATGGAGTGTCCTCCTATGAGACACTCCTACTACTATGAGGTTAAGAGTACCAAGTACTGACAGTTTGTGTCAGTGCCCCACATGCGCAAGAGCACAAGCTGCCTAGAAGGTTTACAAGACAGTATCACTACCAGTCCTGCTATACCAACACTGTGTCCCCCATCTACCTCCTTCTTGGAAATCCATGTTACACACAGAGTGTAAAAATCAACCAAAACACTTATGCATTTAATGTCTCAAAGTTACTTACGGTGGTCGTTTAGGGGCATTGGGGTCCTTCTTCTTCTTGCCACCCTTAGCTGGTCCATAGTCCTTCATTTCTCTATCATATCGTACCTTATCAGCCTTTGCCATTTCATCAAATTTAGCCTTTTCCTTGCTTGACATGGTCTAAAAAACCAAAACATGAGACACCAAACTTGTGATTACCCAACTGTTCAATAGCTGGCAAGCTTTATGTAAACAAGCCAACACATATCAACTCAACACGGGAGTTTCAGAATTTGTTTGTTTTTTAACTGGGCTGCGCTGTACGGGAAATCACAGCCACCACAGACATTCCCAGCAACAAGGGAGCAACAGGAACAAGACAAGCACAGTCAGAGTCCTCCTCTGGACACACACCTGGAAGGAAGTAGCTGCTGAAGGGTATTGCTTGGGAATGACTCTAGCAGAAGCATCTAACACAGATACATAAGGCTAAAATGTTTGGTTTAAATTGCTACAGGCTCCAGCAGCACCTGGTCAATGGCCAGGTCAGCTTGCCAAGAACAGCACGCAGACCAAAACAGCACCGGCTCCCTTCAGGTTCACACACACACACATCATCCTAGCAGATACTGTAAGAAGTTATCCCTTCAGGAAGTCACAAATCAAAGTACCTTCCACCTCTCTGAGCACTTCTTGGAAAACTCTGCAAAGTTGACTGGAACCTCTGGGTTCTTTTTCTTATGTTCCTCACGGCACGTCTGCACAAAGAAGGCATAGGCAGACATCTTGCCCTTGGGCTTCTTCGGATCACCTTTAGCCATCTTGACTCTGCAGGGACAGAGGAAAAAATAACAAATAAATGATATTTAGATGAATGCACACACCGATGTATGCATACACATATGGTGTGCATATATTTATACACACACACACCCCCTCATCATCTTCTGACATGATGTCCCATCAGAAACACATCCCTTTCTTTCCCCTAACATATCTTACCATCCACAATACAGAGACTTAAATTATTCTCCCTTGATACTTGGGTTGCAGACAAGCCAAGAGAAAACAGCCACTGGATTTAAGGGTTACATTAACATACATTTACATCATGTCCAAAGACTGGAGACAGACTATTAAATATACATACTTCTGCCTATTAAGCATTATATATGAACTAATATAAAGTATCTGTTTTAGTTGGCTACCACACTGGGGCTGGAGTGGCATGCACAGTGCCAGGCAGTGACTTATCCCTTCAGGAGCTGGAGTGCATGTCTTAGCAGCTGCTGCCCAGGTAGGCAGGCAGGACAAATTAGTTGCCCCGAAAAAGTGCAGCAACCTTTTATATATAAAAAGAGCACAAATACAGGCTGACTTTAACCACAATAGGACCCGTGGAGCTCTGCGAGGTGAGTTGTGCTCGCTCTTGCTCCACCAAGTGACACATGTTTGAGGCACAGTGGTCAGTGCAAAGATGCAATCGGCAAGTTACCGAAACGATGCGCTAACTTTTGGGCTCCATTTCTTTTCCCGCTTCCGTATTAAATTTTCCCCGCTTAATAAAAAAAATACCATAAGCCCGCAACAGTATTTTCTATTTACAGCTTCTAAGTCCCTTGAAAATTTAATTTTTATTAGCAGAGCGTTAATATTTAATTGCGCCCATTAACCCGCCAGGTGCAGCAGAAGTGCCCGTGAGCCGCCCTGCCCGCTCCGGCCGCTGCCGGGACAGCGCTGCCCCCGCGGGGGCGGAGAACGCGCGGGACCGGGACCGGGACGCGGAGCCGGGGCGCTCCGAAGTTGGGGGCGAGCGGCCCGCGGCGGCCGGCCCAGCCCGGCCCCGCTCCGCGCCCCTCCCGCACCTGCGCCCCCCCAAGGTCACAGCGGCGGCCGCGCTCCGCGGCGCGGGCACCTGCGGCGGGGCCGGGGCCGGCGGGGGCATCGGCGGCTCCGCCAGACGCCAATAATTCATCTTCCATTTTGTGAAACGCCTCCTGATGAAAGAAAGTGCCCCTGAAATGCGGTGGGGCGGCGCGGGCGGGAGCCCCCCCCCCGGCCCCTGCCTAGCGCAGCGCTCTCTAACAAAGGCTCCCGTGCAGCCATTACCGCCGCCGCTACGCTCCTCCGCGCTGCCAGAAAAAGAGTGCGGGGAGCCCCGGGGCGGCCCCCCAGCGCCCGTCCGAGGACACGGAAAGGTGGGGGGAGAGGAGCCGGGGCGAAAGCGAAAGGTTTGAGTCCCCGGCGGGGCACCAGGAAGGAGATTTTCCTCGCCGCGACCCCCCTCCCCATCCCTGTGCCGCTCACACGTCTTTCTTCCCTTCGCCGGGGCTCTCCAGCGCCAGCCATATTAATGCCCACAACACGGGCGGCGCGGCGCGGGGAAAAGGCGATGCGGGGCCCCGCCGCGGGCGCAGCCCCACCAGAGACACCTTCTCGGGCAGGGGAAGAGCGGCGGAGGCAGAAGCGAAGGGATCGGGGGAGTTTGGAGGTGGCGGCGGCGAGAAAAAAACTGCTTGGCCGGGACCGCCGGGCGCAGCGCGCAGGGTTTATCCCTGTCAGATGCTAAAGCGACAGCCATATTAATGCAGAATAAACAGCGGGCACGGCACTGCGCACGGCCGACAACTTTCCCACCGCCACCAGCCCCACCGAGCCCACCCTGGGAAAGGGGCACATAAAAGCCGAGGGCGCCGCGCGTTTTGCCGTGCGACATTAGGAGGCGGCAGAGAAAAATCCCTGCCCATGCGGGGGAGAAGAGGAGTTAGTCCCGGTGTAGTTGCTGCACCAGCCATATTACTCTCGGCGGCACGGGAGCCCGGCGCGGAGCTCCGGGGCTGCACCGGGGGCAGGTGGCCCCTCGGCGGCGGGGGGAGCTCCCGGCGGGGCAGGGCAGCACGGCGGGGGACAAACGCTGCGCCTCGCCCGCTGCCCACCGCCCCGCCAGCTGCGCGCAGCATCTGCCCCGGCACCGCCGATCCCCGCCAGAGGGGCGAAAGAAAGTTTTGGGTGAATTTCCCGATTTTTTTCTAATTTAAAAAAAAAAAAAATCAAAAACTCGGAGGAAGGAAGAAACGGAACGCAACATTAAAAAAAAAAAAAAAAAAGAGAGAGAAAAAAAAAAAAAGCATGCTGGGGCAGGCAGGACAGAGGGACGAAGGCGCGGGGGCAGGGCGGGGAGGGGGCAGCCGCCCCCCGAAAAGTTGCGGCGGGGCTGCACGTACCTGTATTGTTCGCGGTAGTGTGGACAGGAGCGGAGCGCAGGGCACGACGCGGGGCTCGGCGCGGCTCAGCCTCGCGTTGGCTGCCTACGAGAGCGGCCTGATTGGCTGCGGGGCTCTGCCGTTTAAAACAACCTCCTCGCCCGCTCATTGGCGCGGCGCCTCATGAATATTAAGCGCGGCCGCGCGGCGGTTGGCCGGCGCGGGTGAGGTCATTCATTCAAAAAGAGCGCCCGCCGGGGGGACCGGGCAGCGCGGCGAGCGCGCGCCCCGCGGAGCCCCCGCCACGTGCGGCGGAGCGAGACCCGCGGGGGACCCCGGCACCGAGCGGGGACACCGGGCGGGCACCGCGACACAGCCCCACCGACAGCGCCGCGGGACCGGGGCAGCCCCGGCAGCGCTCCCGGGGGCGGGCGGGACCCCCCGGCCGACAGCAGCCCGTTATTGCTGCTTGCTGCCCTGAAGCCGTAAGGGGCGGTTCCGGTTGCAGTGCACTGTTTGCGAAGCCGGCTACTACTGCGCGTAGTGGAACCGAGCCCAAAATAAACTCTGCTGACAGTCCCAACACACAACGGGTGGAGAAGGAACTACAGAGCAAGAAACTGCGAGTTTGTGTGGGGAGGAACAGAGCTTTACCCACTCGTTCATCAAATCAAGAATCCATTTGAATTACTAGTTCTTACACACCTTTACAGTTTGTTTGGTATTAACTTTCCAGGATTTGCTTGTTATTAAAGAGGCTGGCTGCACACAGGGAAACCTGTTAAGTGCGCGCTGCTGACCGAAACCAGCCCAGTGTGACTCTAGGGCTCCTCTGGCTCTCTGCAAAGAGCTGTTTCCTACAGGGCGGCTGCCAAATGGTTAAACTGGTATTCGTGGCTGACCACAATTGTTGGTTGGCTCGGAAAAAAGAGCTGTTATTTTTAAGGATGGGGCGGTAAGACTCAGAAACCAGCCCATAGTGTTACGGGCTGTTGGTAACTGCCGCCCTGTTATGATAGCCAGAAGAAACAGTTGCCCTCTTTAAGGAACAGATAGCGAAAAGCAGCCTCCACCCTGGGCTGAGGCGCTGTCAGGCAGCCGGCTTCACCAGATACCGCCCTGTGGAAGCGCTTGTGGCTAGAACAACATATGGTCACAGGTTGCCTTTGCCGGAAGAGATCAAAACAACACCACTGATGAGACACACGAGAGTGCCAGCCTCCTGCTGACAGATCCACTGGGAGGCATGCAGAATTCCACGCAGGGTTTCAGCCAAAGTCCTGCCTGGATTTCTCCCTTAGGGTAAATCTCCAGCAAGCACCCAATCCAATTGTTGGCCCATGTACATTATATGCTTATAGAGACCTTACAGCCATGTCCTTGGGCTTTTCAAAGCACATATGATAAAATCGGTCTTACTAGCCTCTTGCCCTATTTCTGCCTTCTCAAACCAAAAGTATAAAACAAGGGGTTAGTTCATAAACATTAATGAGGTTACCTGAGGGACTGTATTCTGTAGCATCATCATAAAATAAGACAAGCAATACTACTGCAGGAAAATCTCTTTGTAGCTGACAAACATCCGTTTCACCTATTTTTAGGGATACTTTCAAGTGTTCCAAACTAGTTGAATAATTAAGCCTTTTTTTCTTGGCTCTTGAGTTGCACAATTTTTTATTCTGGAGCACTTTCTTCCTCAAACCACAATGTCACCCTCCAGAGCACACCAAGCACAGAGCATTACTAAGGGGATGGCCAGGCAGTTCAGGGGATGGAGCTGGCTTAGGAGAGACACCTGGCAGTGAACATGCTATCCCACAGTCATCTCCAGATCATCCCCCTGAGTTCTCATCAGCCAAAGGAAACATCCCCTAAAACACTTGTTCTAGGAAGGCCAGGAAAGTTTTGACAGCTGGCCAAGGGGCAAAGGAGATATTTTGGTAGCTGAGACACAGCTGGGTTGGAGGTTTTATCCTAGCACTTGCAGCATGCTTTTGAAAGCAGAGGAGGGCTGAGTAGCAAATGGGTGAACATAACCCCCAGAGGGAAAGCTTCTACTCACTTCACCAGAACTACCACTGCTGCAATTCTCCTGTGGTGCCCTGAGCTCCCCACACTGCACCTGGCCCTGTGTCAGGGCCCTCTCCTGCTGTGCACCCAGAAAACCACACACAAAGTTGGCTGAGCAAATCTAACTCTTTACTGCAACCTCTGGCAGTCCCCCTTCCTCATGCAGCTCACTTCTCCTCTCCTGACCCCTTTTGGAGACAAGGCAGCTCACTAACCCAGTAAAGAGTAAACAAAGCCCAAAATTCCACCTCCTTTTACGCTGGGTTAGCTTTCTGCTGGATTAGTGAACTGAACCAGTGTACCAAGGAGTGAGGTGACTACCAGAGCCAAGGCAAAGAAAGGGGTGCAGGAGGATACAACCAGCAGCAGAGACACTCCCAAGTGGGGGTTTGGTAAATTTTAGGGAGTTTGGGGGTTGTTTTGGTGTTTGGTTTTTTTTTTAATATTACGTATTACCATGTATTTAACTATAGGAAGCATGAGAAAAAAGCCACAACTTAAAGATACTTTAGGATGCCTGGCTTTTGGCACAGCAGGCAGCAATGTTTGCACTGATGTAGGAGAGCTCAATACATAATTCTGTTCCTTCCCTTCAGAAAGTCCTGACCTGATCCCCACCAGGCAGGATTATTTTGCAAACACATACTACATTTTTAAGCAACTGTCAGCCATACCCTGCATCCCACCGCAGGGACCCAGGTCAGTCAGTACCTTGAATATAAGGACTGAGGCCTAAAACGTTGGCCAAGGTCCCATAGCAAGCAGACAGCTCCCAATACTTGCAGTAGCTTGTTTCTAGAAGATGGATGGCAAGGACCTGTCCCAGGCAGAGTCACCAACACTGAAGGCTTCTGGCCCATGTACACCATGTTGGTGCTGTCCAAAAAACAGCAGAGATACAAGCAGCTGAGTCCATGCTGTCACCTGCCAAGATGAAGCAGTACCTTCTCTTCCACTGGAGATGATGGAACAGGGAGACAGCTGTGAAAAAATCTGGAGCCACTGAGGACCCCTCCAACAAATCACCAGACTACATAAACATACTTTAAATTCAGTAAAGTCATCCACAAATGAAATTGCCTTCTTCTGCTCCATGTAATTGCCTGAAGTCTAGAGCAAGTTCACATATTACTCAGTCAACAGCCACATCTCATCTGAACATCAGTGACAGCTTGGTGGGATTGGCCTTCTGACAGCTCCTTCCATCTTCTGTTGTGCCAGAGGGCAGCAAATTAAGGCCCACCGTGTACTTAAGCTACTCAGAAACACAAGTGCTGAAAAGGACCAGAGCTGTAAGTGCTTTGTGGAACACTGATCGCTGATCAGCTCCACAGCTCATCCAGCCATTCTCACAAGGTTCTTCCACCCTCTCATTCCCATGGGGAGCCCATGAATGCCGGGGAAGGATCATGGAGGACAAAAACCCTGTGTTAAAGATTAATCCCCGAGACCTTTAACAAGCTTCCCAGTATGAATCCAGATTGTCTCGATGTGGAAAGTTAGCCTGATGTTAACCTGTGCTCGAGCTTTTCCTAATTGCACTGTGCCACACCTGGCACCTGGAAGAGCTGATGTGATGTCTTTACTGGGCTTGTCCAATATTGGTCAGAGCATGCTGTGCTTGCTGTGTTGGACATCTTCCCCATGGGCAGCATCAACTACTAGTAGCTAGGAAGAGGCTGGTGTGACTTCACACATTGAAATTGTAAGGCATCTCAGTGATTTGGAAATACACCAGTCACAGAAAAATTATTTGGGCCTTCAATACAGTGATATCTCAAAAATGAGCTATTGTGCTGAAAAGCTTCCCAAACATACACCATAATTTCCAGGAGGAATAAAATTTGCCTGGTTCCTATTTTGGAGGAGCAGCTCAAATACACAGCGCATTGTCAAAGCAGTTCCCTTTCTGAGGGGCTTCTTGGGCACAGATTTGGCAGCATTTCTGGGAATAGCCACATAAGCTCCTCTGGTCTGCAGCATACATGCTTGGATATGTGCTATTTCAGCCCATCAGCCTTCATTTTTCAGTGCTGATACCTGAATTTCCACCTTTTTTATATATCAGCTGATACAGGTATCAGAAAGCCAAGAAAGTTTGCAGGGGCAAATAGCTGCAATGCGGTATTGGATACCAATACAGCATCAGTCCATTTGCTCTTTGCCCACCTTTGGAATATGTTGAGCCCATGATTCTGGTGTTAAATCAGAAGCACCTATGCTGTTGTGCTCCTGACCATAGCACTGGGGAGCTTATTCAAGGCAAGGAGTAGAGGAGCCTTCAAGAAATCTCACAGGAAAGTTGATGCAGTCCTCCTGAGATAAAAAGTAATTTTCTGAGGCCTTCTATGCCACAGAATGCCATGGGTCACAGAAAAAAATAGAAGCGTCCCAAGAAGAAACACACTTGCTGTTCGCAGGGTGAGGAAGTTCCAGAAAACATTTGTAAAAAATATTCAGCTGTCTCAGGCCTGCAGCTTGGTTCCCATTAAACATTGCTTCAAGCAACCTGGACATCCAACATCAGCACACCAAAGATGTGCTCACAGCCCTGGCAGACACACCACGTCAGGGACATCCCCTCTGTCACCAGGGTTTAGCAGAAGGCAGGGGCCAGCACAGGGCACCCTCCACTAGCCCCACTGGGATGGTCACAGACAGCTGAGCTCCCTCTCAGCAGCCCTGTGAGACTGTCCTGGCCTGGGCACAGCAATCCCAGCACATCAGCAGAGCTATCAAACCATCCTGCCCTCAGCCAGTCCTTCCATTGTGGTCACTGAGCTGCAGCTCCAGCAGGATAATTATAACTGCACTTGGGCTTCCACTTCTATCTTCATTGCATCTCTTCAACACTCGGGCAAAATCCTCTAGTGGAGACTTGACCCGAATGAAAAGGCTGATATAAATACATCCGTGGGGTTCTGCCACCAATTAGGAGTAAGGATGGGGGGAAAATCCCTCCTAGGAATCGAACAAAGCCTAGAAACCTTTTTAAGCAGAACCAGCCTATCAGAGTGACAGAGTTGACATTTAAGGTTGGATGGACAA